ATTGAACTTCAATCAGGCTCAGGATTCAAGATTCAAGATCTGGAGGAAAAGTTTCCATGGAATCTTGAATCTTGAATCCCATGCCCGATTGAAGTTCAATCGCCCGATTGAACTTCAATCGCTCCAAGTCCGTAGATATTCCCACTCAAGCCTATAGTCAGCTGCTATCGCTCCTCTTTGCTAGCAATGGCACACATCCCGGTGAACGGGTCAGTCATGTTTCAGGGCGGCTCCGCATACCTCAAGATTACTCCGAAGGACTCTCAGATGACAGGATCCTCGTCAGAGAGCCCAGGTTCATCCACACCTTCTCCAACTCCATGGCCTTCATCGCAAACCCGCTCAGATAATCTCATCCTGAAGGCGATCAACAGCGGGGCCGTCAAAGTGCATGCCAGTCGTCTGCCTATGACTGCTACGCAACTCCGGGTGATGCTGAATAACATTCAGTCTACGGTCGGCTTGGCAGTGGGGCTAGAGGGCGCTTGGTCCTTGCGTGCTGATTACAGGCTCTTGGAGTGTTTGGCAAAGCCAAAGCGGATTATCCAACGCAAGACCATTAAAGACATCCCTCCTGGCAACCAGGCCATTGCCGATTGTCCCATGAACGGTAACCTCTCTGAGTGCGGCATCATTATTGAGGGCGAGGTGAACAACACTCCCTCGTATGGCAATGCTAGCGAGGATGCTTCAATGGGCCCTGCCAACAATGTTCTCGAGGATCTCCCCATGAGTAACAACATCCCTAAGGGCGGCAACATTACTGAGGGCGATGTGGTGAACAACACTCCCCCGTATGGCAATGCTAGCGAGGATGCTCCAATGGGCCCTGGCAACAGTGCTCTTGAGGATCTCCCCATGAATAACAACATCCCTACGGGCGACAACATCACTCAGGACAGCATTGTGAACAATATCAGCCCGGACAACAATGTCAGTGAGGATACTCCCATGAGCGACAATAACCCGGAGGGCCCGGAGGACGGCGACCACGACCCTGAGGAGAGCTCCTCATCCTCTTCCTCACCATCGTCTGGCTCTACGTCATCTGCGTCGACTTGCAAAAGCACGTTGCGCCTCCGAGCTGCTATGCTTCAGGACAGCTCAGAGGAAGTTACTCACGATTTGTTCGTGTCGAATGAAGCCCTCGGCCTCAACATGTAAGTCCTTTCCCGTGTACAAAGCGCATCAGGCCAGCCATCATGGCATCTTCGCGACATGTGAAAAATGCTGCAAGTAGCCTCGCTGTTGCTGTCATGAAGGAGAGGTGTGCACTCAGATGTGTGTGTGATAGGGTATGGTATCTAGACTGGGATACCCTAAGTACATAGGACTGGAACGGAACCATAATATTAAAGACCCCTCGAAGGCCGTACATTGCCACCACAAATGTCAAAGACTTTTAGTATGTAACCTAATGTTTGTAATCTTAGGTTTTGGGTCCCTGAACTACGGAATATGGCCCTTAGTCAGTGTATTTGGGAGGTTACAAACATTAAGGGTACAAACTTAAAGTCTTTGATAAAGAATATCGCGTACCATCGCAAGTATTCAGCTACGAGAATCACAGACGCTCAGATGCTGCGTGTGCGAAACATTTGCAGATGATTCCTCGTCACTTCTGCCTCTGCCACAGTGTCCAGGGTCTCGTCCTCCTCATTTTGCTTGCGCGCCCATCTACGCCAGTCTCGTCATCTTCCATGGCGCCCCGCAATCATGGCAGGTAAACTCATGGATGAAGGCATCGCACAGGTAGCGGACGGCAAGTGCCAGGTGAGAGTGTTGCCTCAGCCAAGCATCTTCACGAATGACTCGGTTGAGCACGTCTGTGTCCCAGACTTTCTGGAGGGTGTCTCTCGCCCATTGGACACCAAGAATGTAAAGTCTGCTTCCATTATCTTCGACGCCCACATTGGCATTCCGGACTGTGGTAGCGCCTGCAGCGTCGGGAACTACGTCGCGCAAGGAAAGTTTGCGGAACTACCTCCGCCACTTCGTTTTGCCAGCGTACCACCCGAGACGAGTAAAGTAGACATCATAATCCACAATACAGGCGATGGCTGTGTGAATGTGCTCAAGGTCATCTACCTGGAGAAGTCAGTTTCTTCCACTGCAGCCTTGTCTATGTGTAGCGGGCATTCGGCGGTGCCTGTGTTCCGCGTTGGCCCCCACGCTGTCAAGAAGGCCATCAAGTGGGCTTTGGCAAAGGTGCGTGGCCATCATGTCCACTGGCGCACGTTAGACGAGAAGTCGCAGGCCGCCTTACAAAAATCAACGTCCAGCGTGTGGCCCCCCGAGAACGAGGAGCTTGCTGATGGCATTCGCCACATCAATTCCTTTGCTCCGTAGCGCGACGCCCTCAACGAGCAAACATTCTGGATACTGACGAACATAAAGCCCGAGTCCGGAACGCCGTTGGCTGGTTGGCCTGAGATGAAAGTTCGAGCCATGTGCCAGAACAAGTCTCGTGGTGTCTCAGGAGCTGTTCCCAAGAACGAGTTCCCCTTCAACACTTACAGCCTTCATGCCGTCTTTGCAGAGCGGATATTGCCGCTAGTGTACCCGCTCCTCCTCAGCAACGCCGTCCTCATGCTCGGCAACCCAGGGGTCGGGAAGACCCCCGCCATCGTCATGGCCATGGCTATGGGACGCCACCAAGTCCGACGCCTAGGCTTGCAAGGTGTGAAGCCCGCTTGGAGACGAGGGAAATCTTTCGATAACTTCCGGCAAAGATCGCCGCAAATCCAAGAGGCGCTGTTCCTAGACGATCCATCATCTTGGCGCTTGGATATTGCAGACCTCAAGGCCTTCGTCACGACCGATGAGGACGGCGCGGTCAGCGGCCGCTACAATGATGCCCGGCTAACGCGCAACCAGCTCCGGGCCCTTGCGTCCAATGACACAGGTGAGGAGCCACGGGGACTTCTACCATCAGAGACTACGCTGGCTTCTGACGCATTCTTCAAGCTCGTCCATCCTCTTTTTGGTGACGCTCACAAGAAGGACATACTTGCCGTGATGAAAAGGTCTACCGCATTCGTCTTCACGGATTCAGCCTTGTACGTCCGTCTGCCCTCTGAGTGCCCTGATGCCATAGTTCATCGTGTTGCAGACGGCAATGTTCACCTTGATCTGCTGATGGATAGAGACAAGCACCTCTACGGGCAGTACAAGCAGGGGCTCACAGTGTACGGGGCTAGCTATGCTGCTGAAGTCGAACAGGAGCAGGCCATGATTGATGAGCGCGTGGAGTACATGGCACAATTCCCCAACACTAAGAACTACGTTTCAGACTGCACTCAGAAGCTTCAGAAATGGCTTCGCCCTGTTCGTGTTCTTCCATCCTCGCCCGATTCGCCTGAGCAGGTCGAGCAAGCAGGTGATCTTCGTCTCTCGCGGTGCATTAGCGCAGGGCCCAAACCCAATCGGGTGGACCGTGCTTCCTTCAACATTCCAGACGGCAAGTTCCGCCGAATCCGAGGCAAGTCTCCAGTCCCCGCCCAGGCTCGGATTGCCTTCGCCGCCTCCACTTCATCGAATCCGGATGAGCAGGACACCCTCGTGCCACAAGATGATCCAGAAGAAGAGGCCGCCCGCGCCATGCGTGAGGAGTGAGCGCAGTAGAGTAGAGCAGAGGTTAGTGCTGACCTGACCTAAATATGAACCTATCACTGCCCGTAGCTTCGATGAAAGGTGTGTCGGCTGCCCTGCTGCGTTAAACAGTGCTGAGTTGTTGCGCAGAACATAGTCGGCAAGGCGTTTGCGTAAGTGCGTGGTCCTGTCACAACAGCATTTATGCGCAGAGTAGACTCTTGTAGCAGGTGCCTCCGTAGTTACACACAGCTACACAGCCATGGTCAAGAAGGTGTTTCATCCGGTTGTGGCCAAGCAAGGAAAGCTTCGAAAAGTGCAGAAGCGACCAGCCACCAAGAAGGACAGCTTCTGGGAGAAGGTCAAGTACGTTCGGGAAGGTGCCGTCAATTCCCGCGGACAACGAAAGGATCAAATCAAGTGGAAGCGGACGCTTCCTGAGCTTCTCAACGCTTCCAACCGCAAGATCATTGACATTCTCATCGCGGATAAGTTCCTCCCGAAGTGCAAGCTGCAGGTTGCGCCAAGAGGTGATCTCCACAAGCATCGGTGCAGCCATCGCAATTGTCACGTGTGGATGAACCCCCATCATCTACACCCCCTCTTCAGCGAGTGTCAAGGCCCGCAGTCCCAGTCCTTGCAGATGCAGGCGGCCCACCTCCTACTGAAGCTCCACAAGGTTCCTCAAAGCAAAATCCACCTTCTCCTCGGCGTCAACCATAAGGCCATCGAGGACATGGAGAACAAACTTTGCAAAACGCGGCAGGAGTACGTTCAGAAGAAGGAGAAGGAGATCTTGCTTGGTGACGGCAAGTCCTGGAAGGACGTAACGAGACATATCCAAGTCTGTGGACTTCAAGCATCTCATTGTTTCCAAGGACGGGGTCATGATGTGGGAACAATGGGCTGGAATCGTTCAACGTGGCCGCCCCGAAACCTTGATTCTACGCAAACTGCAGCCAAAGATCACAGTGAAGCGTGCCCCCGGACCAGGTGCCATCCGGAAGACTGAGTGGAAACTCATCGCCGAGGAGTTGTTGCTCGACCGCACGGTGATTCTGTACACCGACTCGGCGAAGAGTTATAAGCTCAAGCTTTCGGGCGTGCTCCACGACAAGGTCGTTCACTGTAAAAAGCGCGTGAAGGTGAAAGGGAAGTGGCAATGTACGTGTAGTAACCCACAAGCTGCCGGGTACATCAGGCAAAACCCTGAAGGTCAAGTTTGGTACCCAGGTAATTCGTAGGCACTGGAAGTTTCTCAAAGAGCGCGTCCTTGTGAACCAGCATACCAAGGCTGAAAGTAGCCTGCTTAAAGCAAAGTTGCGATCAGCCCAGTATGAGTACTGGAGTCGTAATGCTGATTTTTGGGTTGGGTGCGGCGAGCTGTGCTCCCACTCCATGCAGAAGTTCTTGTCCTAGGACATCCGTTCCAATGAGAACACAGCATCTGCCGGACTCGGGGCCCCTATACTTCCGGACAAAAGGTTTCGCGCGAACGTCTTCATTTATCACTCCTCCATTCGTATCGTACTGGCTGTACTCCACTCACCTGGTCACTCGATTTTCGTCCACTCTAGCTGTCCTCAACACACGCAGCCCGAAATACATTTAGTATGGTCTATAGCGAAACGGTCCAAAAGACATGCAACTAAAGTATACACCTAAAATGGTCATTCTTTACTGCGCAGGCCATCGGAAACCAGCAAAACGTGGGTACATGCGGGGTAGCATATATATATATAGATACATACATATATACATATATATATATAGATATCTCTCTCTCTCTCTCTCTCCACGTCTATGTATCCCGGTATATCCCCAGACATATCCCTACACATCCCTCTGCATCCGAGCCTCTCAAAGATCACAAACTCCGCCACTCTCAGCCAGGCGCTCGAAAGGCCACGTCTCTGAGGAGGTGGCGGAGGAGGTGCCGGCTGCAGAGTGCAGGGGTTTAGGGTCCAGGGTTTAGGGTCCTCTTAGCTCCACCCCAAAGGTACTCCTCATATCGGAGCTGTGGGGTCCTAATTTTAGAGGTTGCGGTTGCCCCAATCCTCTTAATCAGGTTCTTTTTCGGAATTGTAGCGCCCCGCCCCGCGACCCGTACTGTTGAACTTGATTTTTTTGGAGGGAATTATGGTAGAACTCAATCAAAAAAAACATGTCCTAAGCTCCACACCCTATATCAATAGGGAATCATATGTATTGCTTATCCATGACTCTGAGGTGGAAGGAGAGCTCAAGTTTCCTTTAGGGTTTAGGATTATAGGGATATTCAATGTTCTAGTCTCCAGTACGGAGTAAGATTATGTCTCCCTTTGGGTTTAGTTTATATCGTAAGAACAAATGGTTTTATATGGGTCCGCCACCAAAACTCTCTCTCTCTCTCTCTCCCTCTCCCCCTTTATATATATATATGTATATAAACGCTGATCTCTCCAACGACGAGCAGATGTCGAAGGCTGCTTCTCATGCTCCTAAGAGTAAGCTGAAATAGCAATATCAGGGATCCAACCAAGAATATCACGTTTTCCAATGTTGCAAAGATCAGCAACCGGGAGCAATTTTACCACCAAATCCCCTGCAAGGCGTTATCAGACGTTACAAGACCTAGCGATAGACTCGGAAACCCGCAGTAGCTCCTTTGAGCGCCCATGTAGGGTTCCTAAACCCTAAACCCTAAGCCCTCTTTTGAAGCTAGATTTTGAAAATCCTCTCCAACCTGGTTAGTAGCAATTTCTCATGGGGACCAGTTGGTTCGCAACGGGGAGGAAGATGACATTATTCTCTTGTATCTCCGTGTGGCAAGAACCAGAACTTTTTCCAGAATTCGCGACATTCAATCTATTTGGAAGCTAGAGTTGTTTTGGGTTCAGAGTTTTGTAGAAGGCTGGATTACCAGTATTGCGTCCTCGCGAGCCTTCTACAGCTACAGGATGCATGCGCCCCAAGGCAGTGTTCTAGGCGTCTAGGTTCGTATATGAACACCGAAGCAGTGGGATCCTTATTCATATGCAAGTGCACACACGCGCACGCAAAAGCAAAGATCCAATAAACTGCTGAGACTGGGCATGCTGTTTGGAGTATTCGTTTTAAGGAACGTGGTGAGGAAGTTGCGTGGCTTGGGTTCACTGTTAACTTTGCCCAGGTTGGCCACTGTACCGGATCTAAGCTGGCTCCGGGAGCATTAGATGTGATTTCCCGAAGGTCCTAGAGGCTCTGAAAAATCAAATGGTCTCCAGATCCTGAGCTCTTTGCCCTGCTCCCTACATCCCTCTTTATCTCTGAACTGATAAGATCTAGAAACTGGTTCAGCTCCTTATGTAAGTGTTCCTAGAACTTACCAAATCGTAGTATGAGGCTACTTCATTGGGGGATTTGCCTTCTGGATCCTCCCAGGCATCTGGGATGTCTGCTCGGAGTATACCCTGAACCCTGCAGGAGAAGCCAGAAACTTGAAAACATGGGTACTCCCCTTTCCCAAGCCCAGATATCCGCTTACTTAAGGATTTTTAGAATCACGTTTAAATCTCCCCTAACCCTAAACCCTAGACCCTAAACCCCAAACCCTATGATTGAAGGTACATTCCTTGATTCAGGGGTATTGGGCCCCAGGGGATGAACTGAGACCTGGAAAAGGGACATATGAGTAGTGTTTTATTTGGGGATACTGTGGTACCCAATATAGAGTAAGATTATATCCTCCTTTTGGGGTAGAGTACTTCATATAAGGAATATAATCTTACTGGGTTTCAACACCAAAAAACACTACTCAAGTGTCACC